GGGTTCCAAAAACAACAGTATGTCAGACATAATCACAACTAAAGTAAAACACTTGTAATTATTGTAATACTTAAAAGTTTATTTGAGATATTTTAAAGGTGCACTCTGTAAGACTTTGCTTACATCTAGCTGGCTCTTATTCATCTCAATAGTGTCAGTGCTCTTGGACACCTGTTGGCATGGATGCGAGTTTGTCATGGAAGTGGTTCTGTACACCAGAGCTGCAGATCATTGTGGTTTGTTCCATACATTCCGTTTGTTATTATATTGTCTGGTTTGCTTGTTATTTGTAGATGTACTTTCATGTTCATGCCCTGTAAAGTTTCTTGAAAAAAAAAAGGGTACTGTGTCCCATATGACGTACTATACACTATGCACTTATTCTATGCACTATGTACTCAACCATCTAGTGTACGAGGTTTGAAAGGTTAAAGTGTCCAACATTCCACACTTATTTTCTCGGTTAAAACAAGTGCCTCATCTTTGTATTTAAAGTGCTATTTTACTTGTTGTAATTTTCAATGTAACACCACTCAAACTTTATACTACAAAACATCACAGAATAGTGTATAAGTATGTGAATAAGGATGCACCTAAATTGTTAATCACCAGTGGTGGACAGTAACGGAGTAGTTTTACTTCGTTACTGTACTTAAGTACATTTTTCAAGTATCTGTACTTTACTGGAGTAGTTTTATTTTGAGTAACTTTTACTTTTACTTCACTACATTCCAAAGCATAAGATCATACTTTTTACTTCACTACATTTCATAAAACATATCGTTACTCATAATATATCACGTGCTCCGAGACACAGAAGCGGTGTCTGATTCAAGAACGAACTGATTCTTTTCAATTAACCTTTTAAATCGGTTCGCAAATCGCACCAAACGATTCATTCATGAATTAGAATTAACCGATTGCAACTGTTCTGGAGTCGACAACTCACTGATTCAAATTAACCGTTTAGTGCGAGTCTCCAGTGAACTGAATTCACAAGTAAGAACCGGGAGATCTTGTGAGCACGCGCGTGACTGATGCTGCTAAAAGTAAGTTACTAATGTCGAATTTTAGGATTAATTATTGTAACTGAAAATCATATTTAGGTCAAAACTGTCAGTTGTTTGTGAACTAAATCTGCTGTAAAGGGTGATCTGTTTAAGCCCACTGAAATGCTTGAATGCAGGCACATCAACATCAGTGTCGCTATGTTTTAGGTAAAAAAAATAAATAAAATTTAAATAACACAGACTAAATAAAATAACTCATGCACGTTCATATTCCCCGCTGCCGTAACGTTAACAGTTTTACTAAAATGCTAAGCTTTTAGCCCTATGTGACGTCTGTTTTTATATTGTTTATCAACAGTATACATTTTTATATTGTTTGTATTAACTAGCCGAGTAGACAGATATGAATGTTTATTCATAACCATACTGAAAATAAGTAAATATTGTTAGCTGATGCTAACTGGCTCAAGTACTTGATTTGTGTACTTCGTCCACCACTGTTCATCACAACTGCATGACAACATTCCACAATCATGACATTCCTAATCGTGACTCATGACCCTGGGAATCCGTGACGTTACTGCCAGGGGTCCCTGAACAGATATACAAAGCACTTTTCTTAAAACAAAAAATGACCAGACAAGTTTGAAATGAGAAGCACTTTGAATAAATAGTCCAACTTGAAACTTCTGCTGAATTAGGGTGCTTGACTTGGGAAGGTTAAACAGACGTCAAACAGCTCAAAGAAAACCTTGAAATGGCATGTTGATGAATTTTCTTGAGACCAAAATCAGTTTGAGGCGAAGATGATGTGAAGAACATCTATGCCAAGCAAGTGAGTCTCAATTCGTTTACAGGCCTATTAAATGCTTGTTTGATTTGAAAAAAATCCAAATGGGAGGACAATTACAAAACACTGAATATGAAATGTGATTAAGACAAACCTAATTAACGCCGGATTGAGGGCAAAAATGGACAATAAAGACAAAAGCAAAGTGTAAATATGAATTGTTGATTAATATTATGCTATAAAATTTCCATAGTAGAAACTGAATGCAAAAGTTTGTTTTCCCTAGACTCTGAAGACGGGGGAAAATACACACATCCAAATCCAATCTGCAGCAGGTGCGGGACCAAAACAGAAAACATGAAACTGAACAAGGAGAATCTGCACACTATCCAAGCAGGTCCCTTTATTTTTAAAATAAGACAACAACGTTTCAATCAGATATCTTCATACTGACGAAAAGTGGTTTTATTTTGGAAAAAAAGGGAATAGTCAAATATTGTGTGGATTCTCCTTGTTTATTTCCGTAGACTCTGAGCCATTACAGGAAAGAGCAGTCCAGCGTTCCATGTAAGGCCGATGTCGCAGCAGGAGCGAGCTGGAATGCACTGCACAATGACAGCTCTACACAGAACACAGCGCGTCTCTCTCTCTCTCTCTCTCCATCCACAGCAGAGCTGCAGCCAAAACACATCCTCCTCACATCCATCCAGAGCTGTCTACTGTGGCCTGGCCTGTTTCTCCTCAAACCAAGATTTGTTTTCTCCTTTTGTCCACATGATCAAGGCAGCTTTTAGGTGGCAACAATACAGATTACTTAATTTCAGGCTTAGCATTAAAAAAGTATGGAGTATGCCTCATCTGTCTCTTTGCCGCAACGTCTTGTGCGCCGTACACAAAACATCATCATCAGCGGGGTCCGTGCAGACTGTGCGCATAAAGACATTTTCTAGCCTCTCGCACACGTATCATCTATATGCGTCATTTGGGTATACACCTGGAATTTACTGCATTATCTGGTCCAGCCCAATAATCAGTTGGGTTCTTGATTTTAAGAACTACTCTAGTGGAGTGTCACAAAGCAGTCTTACTTCGTAAGCGTCAAATTAACCCCTCGAATGTGGACCAAACTCATCTGAGAAGGTGCTTTGAGTGTGGTTTACATGTGAAAATATGTTTCAGGTTATGACATTTGTGTAACTGCATTTTTTTTTGGCAGTTACTGGTAACTACACAAAACTAAATGTAACACAACAAGAAATAAACAGGCGTTCTCCAGATTTGAAATGAGGATCATATTTACTCACAGAAAATTGAAGGTCATTCTTCAGTTTTCTGCAAAAACGAAGGCTTGAGGGTTAAATCAAACAGCATTACAATGCTGCCTGAAAGGAAAAAAAGATGCAAGATGACTGAGATAATACTAAAACATTTAATAACAACAATAATAATAAAGTATATTTGTAATAGCTACCACTTTCACCTCCTGTTGTCAGAAACAATGCAACGAAACAACCTTAGTGGTATTGTGATATAACGTGATACTTTAGCCTAACCATAACCCTAACTAATACGCATGGTGTTAAGATGACAGCTCTGTAAAGTATGGTAAGATATTGTTCATTTTATTTTACATTACTTACCACAGGCAAAGAATCCATTCTTCTTTTTCATAAAATTGAATCAAAGTATTACCCTCCGAAAATGTTTCTTCCACAGTTTATCTTGCATTACTACACTGCTGTTTTTCATCACTGTCATACTAATGTAAATTTGTTATCTTTTGCTCAGACTTCTAAAATCTAACCAAACCATTCCTCGTCCTTTTGGACACAAAGGCCACAATACAAGGCCAAAGAATATTCTCTCTTGTAGCATACAAAAATACTTCCATATTTGACAGTGTGATCATATTCTGACATTAGGAAGAATGTCAGGATGAGAGGAAGGTACTGTATGTCTTCAGATTCTGTATAATACACCACATCAGAGTGTGATATTATATCAGTATAATATATCTGAAAGAACTGGGAATAACAAAGATCCACTCATCTTTCTCAAGGGAGAATTATTGGACTATAGTTGACTATACAAACAAATTGTTTCATGGCTGGTTTATGCTGCACTCCTAGTTTAATGTGCATTTATTTACAATGCTCCTGAAAACAGGTTTTAAAATGGACAAGTCAGATGTAAAACTGATGGCAGATATAAGCATAAAGATCTATTTTGAACTGAAAATTATACAGTACTTCAGTATTTCTATACCCCTTTTTCACATTTCCTATCTGTTACACAAAATACATTCAACATACAGTATTTATTCAAAACAAAAAATGTAATTTAGGAGAACCACAACAAGAGTTCATGAAAAGATAATGGAAAACAACTAACCTCCAGTGAAGATCATTGTTGCCTCAAGACCACCTTAAACTACCTTGTTCCAAAGCTGGAAAAAATTGAACAATGGTCTAGAATTGGATGGGACTGTTTTTTTTTTTTTTTGTAAAATAACATCAAAATCGAACAAACCAACACCAAAACATCGTCGCTCTACAAAGCATCAAGGAGGCGGCTGCTCTGCTGCCTTAAACCAGAACAACTGGTAATTACAAAATAACTAATGGATTTCATGTGGCATCAGGAAAATCTGCCATAGAATGTTAGGGCATCTGTCTATGACCAAAAATCTGTTCAGGGGCAAAAAAACAAAAACAACAACAACAACAATGCCTAAACCAGAAATAAATGCAGCTTTTATTCAAATGACCTCCTAACCACTGCAAAGGTCGGATCAGCAGCTAAAGAGAGCTTTAGTAAAGCCGGTTAAAAATTATGACTCATTTTGGTTTGTTTTTTTAATGACTTGCTCCCAAAGATATGCTGACTTTGTTTTGTGTACTTTATGTCCAAACCATTTTATTTTATTTTATTAAATTCTAGAAATCTCCATCTTCAGACAGACTCAAATGGGTTTGTGTACATATAGTCTTCTTCTCTATAGTAGATAAGTGTGACAGCAGTTGCTTCACGAGTCTACACAAACACTCTCACTGAACAAAGATTATTTCAAGCTTTTCTTGACATTCAGTACATAATAAATCCAATCTAGCATCCTACAGACCATTTCACTGAAACCCAGCTCACAGGTTATCTTTAGCTGAATATTATAAATACAAACATTAATCAAAAAGTCAATCCGATCAACTGAATTGAAGGCTAGTGTCCATTTGCACACTTGTATTTCTGTAGCGGTGCCGCAGTTTGCGGAACAGTTTCTTGACCGGATCTGTGTACTCCCTGTTGGCGAGTCCCAAAAGCAGAGGCACGACAGCAATGCCCCCGATGCCAACACAGGATAGCACAATGTGGCCAGTGCGATTGCTCTTTCCTCCCCGTCGGAGCAAAAACTCCACACCTACATGGGTGTAAACGATGTAGGGCACCCAGCAGGTCAGGAAGGCAAGGGAAACGGCTGCCACACAACAAGCGTAACGCATTTCCATTCTCCGTCTGCATTCCCTGTTTGCTACGGCTCGCTGCAGACGCTGGATGTCCCTCAGTTGTTCTCGTGTGATCCACAGCACCCGGCACGTCATGGCAGCGATGGAGAGGATGGCGGGTGCCAGTAGACCATATACTTCCAAATAGATGAAAGCGTTAGGAAAGACACTGCGGTATGTACAGCAACGCTCTCCAGACAGCGCTACACAGTTAGAGCGCACCGTGCTATTAGTTATTGGACAGCACTCATTCCGATCGTGAATAGCCTTGTTGTTCCAGCCAAAGGCAGGCAACAGTGCAAACAGCAGCGGCAGCATCCACACAGCCAGCAGCGGCAGAGCGAACCGCCGATGCAGCCAGAGCTGTCCGCGCTGAAGCGGACTCACGATGCTCCTGTAACGCTCGTAGTGCACCAGCACCAGGTTAAAGAGAAAGGCCAGGAACAGAAAGTTGGGAAAGATGTGCACCAGCAGGCAGGACGAGAAGCTGAGAGGGCGGTTTAGGCCCATCCAGGGGATGAAGGGAAGCACCACGCCGGTGCACATGTCGGCCACCAGCAGGCTCAGGAAGAAGTAGTTCTGTGAGTTGTGAAGCTGCCGGTTGCAGGTGATGCACAGGATGATGAGCAGGTTGATCAGGATGATGGCACAGGAGACGGGCAGCGTGATGGCATAGATCAGCTGGGCCTCCACATTGCTCCCGGAGATGTTTTGCATCACCGCAGCCATTACTGCGACTTTCCACACCAAACATCCATTCTGAAATCCGATAAACCTGCGTGAAGAAGAGAGCAATACATTGATTTAATATTAGCAAATCAACACACATCGTGGAACAATGACACAACAATCCATATTACTAGTTATATTGTCAACATTTAAAATCCATTAGGTTTTTTCCTTTCCCCGTAAAGGTTTTAGTGCTTATTTTACAAGTTTTCCCTCCCTAAGAAACTATATGACAGCTGTTGTTATTGCCATATTGACCCTCAAACACATTTCATAAACAACACTTCAATCATGTCACAGCACATTAACACAGCTTGTGGCAGCTGGGCCCTGTTCTTGATATGCTGCTTAACGAAAAAGATTAGTAGTACAGCAGATCTACTGATCATAATATTTCCTTTCTGGCTAATTTGGTTTCGTCGTATGTGCAGACTTGATTCATGCATCTGGATTTTGTTGCCAGACATAACTGTGCATTCCTGCATCTACTGGAAATGGCACATTTATTGATTCCCAAAAATATGATGATACCCTAATCATGTGATTGGATGGCAAGACAGAGCAATGTGATGACATCATAGAAATATTACTGCTTGGAAGCTTTTATTCATTTCTTTATCATGTAGTCTCAATTAGATTTAATGAAGGACTCCAACCTGGGATAATTTCAGGAGGAAAATTAAGTCATTATTTTCTATTTTTAGGGTTACAGACGGACAGATAAACTCTTTCTTGTGTTGCATATCAGTACTCACATTATTTCTTAAACCCTTCCAAATGAGGAGCATAACAATAATTGATATAAGTAAAAAGAGCCAACAATTGTCATGATATACGTCAGAAATCAGAACAGCTAAATAAGGAAACAAGCTAGAGCACATAACACACACACACGAGCACTTTTGTGTTCAATGTGAAATAGGCCTAAGGTGTATTAAACCTGTATTAAGACAAAAGCTGCTAATACGAGAGGTTATAAGTTCAGTTCTAGGTACGTGTGATCTACAAAGCTAATAGTTCTTCACTGATGTTATGTTTATTCAGAGTTCCATTTAAATCGTCCTTTCAGCATCTTTGCATTAGATGACAGACTATATTAGATTATTAAAATACAAGTAAAAATATACATTCAGCTACGTAACAAAACTTTTAGCCTATAAAATGTCCATTACAAATGTTTTAATGCCAACATTAACATACAGCAAATGAAAGCAGATGCAAAAAGACCTCGATCGTAGGTCATAAATGGTCCATTTGCAGGTTTATAACAGTCATGAACGAGGAACTCCTGACCATAAATTCAACACTTTCTTTTGGTTTCCTAAATACTTATTCATAGAGCAAATGAAAAGTGAGAAAGAAAACGTACCTTTTGTCAGCTTGGCTTGAAGTGAAGATTAAACTTAAACTCAGGTCTTCATCACTATAGGGTCATGTCACGTAGTTTAGCACAACATAAGAAAAGTTTGCAGGTTAACAAACTGCAAAAGGCAATAGCACAGCCCATTTTTAAGTCTGATTTTACATCAGAGCTCTACAAAGTAAGATCCACAACAGCTGGAAAGAGACAAAGTCGCTTGTCAAGCAGAGAAAGTGAACAGGGGCGAGTCCGGGGGGAACGTCGCTCGTAAAACTCTGAGCAACACCCGAGCAAACCTACAAACCTGTGACATGCAGAGCTAATGCATGTACACATGACAGATAAAGAGGGAGGACAATATACACAATTTGAGACCTTTGACCGAGTCAGGAGGGATGTCAGAGATGTGCGAAACTAACAGATAAAGTGTACAGAAAGACACAACTACATAAATGCCTGAAATGGAGACATTACTGCCTTCTTAAAATTGAGATAAAGCACATTAGGGACATTTATACTAAAATACAGAGATTCAATAGTGTACATTGTGATACTTTTCTTTATCATTGAAACAAGTTAAACAGGTTAACCAAGCAAAACACACAATGAGTGCAATGAAGAGACAGACATTTCCCGTTTACAATCACTCCTGCTCCGCACTTACTAGTGGACATCACTGACATCAGTGGAAAAAACATAAGATGGGGTCATCAGTGAGGTCAGGCTAGGGTTTAGTAAGCTGTGCGGCTATGGAGTCGTGTGCGTCACAATAATAATTATAATATTATAATTTTTATTATTCCGTTGCTGAAGTATTTCCTGGAGTTCAACAGTCCTGGCTGCTGTAACTGAATGAATACAGTGGAGAGTCTAACATATTTTGACTGACTAGTACTCATTCTCACACAGAGCATGTCATATCAGAAGAGAGTGCATCCCTTCATTCATCATGTTCAGGAAGTTAGGTGCCCCAAAATCGTGCAATGTCAAGAAAAACTTTCCAAAGTAAGTTTAGATATTTAGATATAATATAATCTGGTTGTAAAACACAGTGTTGCACATTTTATTGGTGCAGAGGAACGTCCATCTTGTAAAATGTTTGCAACTGCTTTTTGTCAATTAGAACCACAACTGAATTGTGTCGTCTGTTACAGACATTTGGTTTATATCAAAATCAAACCTTGTAAACAAAGCTGTGTTCAAACTTTACTTGCATTTTTACCTCACTATTTTTGTGCCCCATCAGGTAATCAAAAGTTCTACATACACTTTCACGCCACTTTAACCAGGGTCAGAGTCAGTGATGAGACTGAAGTAAGCACTCTTAAAGGTACCATATTGTACACCTTTCTGGAGTTTTATTTTAGGTTTTGAATAGCTGCCTGCTGAAATTGAAATGAATATAATACATCTTCATCATGACTAGATAGACACGGTGAGTTTGTCTTTAACTGTAAGCGGTGCTCGCGGGGGGTGACTGAAGGCGGTGACTGTGTAGTTCTGACGTCAACGTTTTACGGAAGTCACAACAGTTTGTGAAAAATAGCTAGAACTTTATGCAGGCTGTGTGCTTTTTACTGTGTACTGACTATTTTGAAACTTATATGGTAGTTAAATAGCCCCTAGACCTCAGTAATCGTGAAAAAAGCCAGGAAATTTCAGTTTTGAC